ATATGAACTTCAGCATGGCTCCTATGTAATATTTCTATGTGCCTTAAAGTTGTTTCTGACTAATGACAACTCTAAGGTAAATCTATCATAGGACTTTCTTGACAAGATTTGCTTGCCATTGCATTCCTCTGAAGTTGGGAGAATGCAATTTGCCCAAGGTCATCCAATGGGTTTTCATGGCAGAGGGCAGATTTGAACTCTATTCTCCAGTATCATAGTCCAATGTTCAAACTACTGCACCACACTGACTCCCACATGGAACTTAACATTACCAGCAGCTAATAAGCAGAAAGAAACTGGGGGTCCTTCCAGACAAGGCCCGAAATGCACGCCCTGTCAGACTTTTACCTGAGGCATCCAAATGATTCTATTTTAATGCTGACTTTATGTATATCATTGTTATATTGTAATTTGAGTCCAGATTTGGAGGAAAAGATAGGCTGTATATAAAATGGTAATTGCTGTTCTTATTAATAATATTCTATAAAATATAGACCATTATTAGAGAAAGTCCCATTGCATTGCATCCATATATTTTGTTTGTTTATTAAATTTATTTAGTTTATTATAAAGATCCATTAAAGTTATGGTTGCTCCTGTTTTTTTTAACCCAAAAGGAAGATTTCTGATAGTTAGATTCCTGATTTCATTCAGGAAGTGAATGCGTGTGAGAAGTTTGAGATTTGTCTAGACAAAATATTACAGGCTTCCCCTTCCCATTTCTCCAAAATACCCATAGGCACTTGAGCATATTAATATAATTACAGGAATGTATCAAAACATCTGCTCTTACTATTATGTGTTTTGCCTCTGTGCATGTGTCTGTGTGGTCTGATAAGTCATAGTCATATCTCAGTGTGCCATTACAGAAAACCCTTCATGCCAGGTTTTGGTACAAAGGCTCTGACTATGGCTTATAGCCTAATTGAAAACATATGGAAAAATCGGCCTGACACATAAACTAGGACTGGGAGTATGAAAAGAAGACAAATACAATTCTTACTCATCCCCACCCCCATAACAGAATGGGGATCTTTGACTACAGAGTTATTTAAATCCATCTATAGGATTATATAGCACACAGACAGATGTAGCCTCATTCACCATGGCCCACATCTGAAGAGTGATTTGCAGAGGCCAATATTCATTATAGTCACAGATCTACTCTTAAATTGTATATCTGGAGGACCTGATCAAATGCAGAGGACCTCATCGATGCAGTTGAAGTGGTCGGATCCTTAGGGGCAAGTGACCATGTGCTCCTGCAATTTAAGGTACAAAGGAAGGCCAAAACTAAGACAAGTCAAACCCGCATTTTGGACTTTAGGAGAGCTGATTTCCAAAAAATGAAGGAAACACTGAGCAGCATTCCATGGACACAGATACTAAAAGACAAGGGAGTTACAGATGGATGGGAGTTTCTCAAGAGTGAAATACTCAAGGTGCAATTGCAAACAGTGCCAACAAAGAGAAAAAATAGGACAAGTGCAAAGAAGCCAGAATGGATGTCCAAAGAACTTCTAACTGTGCTAAGACACAAAAGAGACATGCACAAGAAGTGAAAAAAGGGAGAAATCACCAAAGAAAAATTCAAACAAATAGCCAACTCCTGTAGGAAAAAAGGTTCGCAAGGCTAAAGCACAAAATGAGCTCAGGCTTGCCAGGGACATTAAAAAATAATACAAAGGGCTTCTTTGCTTATGTCAGTAGAAAAAGGAATAACAAGGAGGTGATAGGGTCTCTTCAAGGAGAAGATGGGGCAATGCTGACAGGGAATAGGGAAAAGGCAGAACTACTTAATGCCTTCTTTGCCTCAGTCTTCTCACAAAAAGAAAGTCATCTTCAACCTCATAACCTTCTGGCAAACAAACTAATCCAATGTGGGATAGGCAAACCTACGGTTAGGTGGATCTGTAATTGGTTAAATGGATGAACCCAAAGGGTGCTCACCAATGCTTCCTCTTCATCCTGGAAAGAAGTGACAAGTGGAGTGCCGCAGGGTTCCATTCTGGGCCCGGTCCTGTTCAACATCTTTATTAATGACTTAGATGAAGGGTTAGAAGGCATGATCATCAAGTTTGCAGATGACACCAAATTGAAAGGGATAGCCAATACTCCAGGGGACAGGAGCAGGATTCAAAACAATCTTGACAGATTAGAGAGATGGGCCAAAACCAACAAAATTAAGTTCAACAGGGACAAATGCAAGATACTCCACTTTGGCAGGAAAAACGAAATGCAAAGATATAGAATGGGGGATGCCTGGCTCGAGAGCAGTACGTGTGAAAAAGATCTTGGAGTCTTCATGGACAACAAGTTAAACATGAGCCAACAATGTGATGTGGCGGCAAAAAAAGCCAATGGGATTTTGGCCTGCATTAATAGGAGCATAGTGTCTAGATCTAGGTAAGTAATGCTACCCCTCTATTCTGCTCTGGTTAGACCACACCTGGAATATTGTGTCCAATTCTGGGCACCACAATTCAAGAGAGATATTGACAAGCTGGAAGCCACCTATCTGCAGAGTCCCTGAAACTTAGGACTACAACAAACATTAAATGCAAAGCAAACAAAATTGGAGCTCCTGGTGCAGTTGTACCTGCACACTTATCCAATGACAATTCAACAAGTACAAAGGAGGAAATCAAACTTTTCCAGGGCCATGTACCTCAGGGCAAAAATGTAAGATGGAGATCAGCTTCTGTAAAATGAAAATTATCTTTAGGAGTGAGCAAAGGGTAGTTCTGTCATGTGAAAGAGTAAACAGAATCCAGGTGAGTCAGACTGAATCCTGTATACCATATATGTTACAGGTAACAATTCTTCCAGGCTAGGCAACTGAGAATACCAGGAAATCCACACTATACCTGACTGGAGGGCCCTGCTCACTTAAGAGAACTTAAAATAAGCATAGAACAATCAAATTTTAGATGTGTGGAAAGTTATTTGACTTGTATTGCACGAATGCATGCAGTAGATTTGAGGAGCATTCTGTCCTGTAAATGAGCTCATAATACAAACCTAATCTTATTTTCTTACGTTGTTAAACGACCTTGCTCATCAAATCCACAGAGCAGAGATGAAAAACATATTTCAAAATATTTTAAAGATGTTCAAAAAATATGTTTTGTGACTGCTGAGAAACACAAATGAGAACAATTCAGGATAGATGAGAATCTTTGCAGTTTGGAACTTATTCTGCATAAAATTTGCTCTTTTGCACAGTAAGTGATATTTTCTATACCAAAAACAATATTTTCTTTTTTAACACTAATTTTTATTTAAAAGTACAAAAATACAAACATACACAAACAGATACAGAAAAAAGGTACAGTTTATCAATCTCAGCTAATTTACACATGTTTGTCAGCCATTCCTTTTGCTTTGGGATAGCTCATTCTTTCCATCTCTGGGGACAGACAATTCCCACTGCAGTAATCATATACAGCTAAGAATCTTTCATGTTTCCTCTCAAGCTAATCGTCCAGCATCCCCAGCAAGTAGTTCCTATGCAGGAAATAATATTTCAGTGCAGAAAAAGAAGAGAGCTAAACCTGATTAGATGAAAGGAAAACTTGGAAGAAGAGAACACATAAAAATACCATGCAACCTTAACCCTTCCTAAACATGTCTGTTTAATAGGTACTCTGTGTAAATTTCACAGAGTTTCAGGATAGGCATATACCAAAAAGTAGATAACTTGATACTGGTGTAGATATAGGTTCTTCTCTCTTTTTATGGGTTACCAAAGGATAGAATCTTAGAGTTTATTCATTTGAAAACAGCATAGTACCTTCAGATTCAGTAACAAAAAACCACAAGCAGGACTCTTTGACTGGCTATGGAGCATTTGTAATGGCATGTAAGACTATTATTTAAAATCCTTTAGAATATTTGCACTGAATGATTACTTAACAAATGATTTAATGTTCCTACAAATGCAATGATTGATTCTACTTAAGCCATATTGCTTAATGCTATACACAGTATGAAAAAAATGGTATAGCCAACAGGATAAAGACAAACTTATGAGCAAAAGCCAGTTGACTGTGAATAAAAGATCCACTTTTGTTTCTATCAGCAACTAAGGAACAAATGTTGATTGTGAAGTTCCCTCCTGCATTGGAATTCTTCTCGCAAATTGCAACTTTTTGGTTGTTACTGTAAGAAAGTTGAAGAAAAGTAACACAGATTAAGACAAAACTGAGAATTTGATTTTACTGTGGTTGTCTTATTGTTTTCATATTTGTGGAAGGAGGTATCCAGTACTCACTTGTGTATGCAGTTCCTTGTATACCTGGAGGGCAGCTGCCTGACTTAAAGATCAATCTACTAGCAAGTGGACACAGTGCTGTCTCTATCATGGCCCAGAACTGCCACTGGGAAAGCCCCTTAAATGGTCTAGAAAACCACCATCCTGTCACCAAGCATAGCGCTTCTATGCTGATGGAGCTGTGTGCTTAGCAGAATTAAACAGAATCTTGGCAAAAACGTGAATGTTTTTTGGTGGGAACCATTCTTGAAGGGCGAAGGGAAGAAAAATATGCAGAGGGGCCAAATCACCCTAAGAAAGCATCAGTTCAGTAGATAAAAATGTTCACAATTGTTAAGTTTCATGCAATCCATACTTGATTATTATGATGGAATTACTAATAAAACAGGCGGGGAGGTGGGAGATGGATAATCTATAGCAGTCTTTTTATGGGGGAAAATAAAACTTCCCTATAGTAAATATTCCACAAAATATTTAATTTTATACACCTCCATCCTTTCATGCTCCCCTTACTCGTTTTTATTTAATTCTCTTAAAGATCCCAAATGTTATAACCTATTCTCATTGTGTGGTTGCTCTTATTCTATATTCTTTGCATATTGAAGCACCAGCACTTCCATCATAAAATCTTCCCAGATGGCATAAGCTTAGATCAAGGTTACTTGGAAAAAGGAAGTAAATAACAATAATTTCCCAACTCCTCCCTTCCCTATTCTCCATTCATGGATAATATTTGATAAAAACAGTACCTATGCTTCAGCTTTGATTTCTTGGAAATCTGCTTCCTTTGCCTCCTCAATTATACACTCTTCTTCGATACGTTGCAAGTTTGTTTTAGTCAACAAATTCTCAGTTTTGCTAACCCATTCCTTTAAAAGAAAAGAATGTGGAGCACATCATTTTTAAACAGTAGTTCTTTGTTCTTGGCATGTTCAGCTAGTGCAGACTTCCCCAAGTACAGATTACAACTCAATTTACTCAACACATACTCAAGGAGGGTGGTGGCAGTTCTAGTCCAACAATATCTGGGAACGAAAGATTGGGGAGTTGGTACCAAGACAGATTAAGACATAGCATTGTGCATAATGAGATGTTTACAGGGAGCAACCCAATTGGGATGTTATTCACCAGTGTTAAATTGGGTTTGAGATTTTACTTGAATTACTAATACAGTGGTTCTCAACCTGGAGTTCCCAGGTGTTTTGGCCTACAACTCCCAGAAATCCCAGCCAGTTTACCAGCTGTTAGGATTTCTGGGAGTTGAAGGCCAAAATATCTGGGGACCCACAGGTTGAGAACCACTGTACTCATAGGTTATTGGGGAGGGTTCTTTGAGCAATGATCATGAGTAATTACTTTTTAAATAGCCAAAATTCCTCTAAACAATGGTTAAATTCCAGCAAATAGGTATGATACATTTTTCAGTACAATCCTTCCAAAACTCATCCAATTGATGTGGAAGCCCACTCCCTTCAGATTACTATTTCTGTGCCAGTGGAGAGAAGTGGAAGTAATAGATACATGTCCCCAAAAATGCCTGTCACAGTGCATGCAGTTGAAGGAAAATAGCTGGACAGGACTCTGCTGTTTCCCCCACCTCCCATCAATATGTAGATGCTGGACCTGCCAAACTAAGATGGTGGTTCTGCTTATTTGAAGCACATATTTTGGTCTTTAGCTGGAAAAGAATTCAAAACTCCACAAAAATGCAAACAAAAGTGGGTTACAATAGTATCAGCAGGATCTTCATAACAAGAGGAAGTAAATATACTGCACTATGCATGGACCTTATTCCAAAGGCCATTGGAATCATCGTGCATTGTGGCGATTCCAGCATTGCATATCAGGGGGTGTGCCCCACTCCCCCATCACTCGATTTACCTCACATCACTTGATTTACCCAATTTTATGAGAAAATTGAAATAATGATTTGATGCAGTGTTAATGCCTTAAATACTGAGTGAAGCCTTGGGGGTCCACAACCATGAAATATATCTGAAAGTTACCATCCCACAAAGGGAAGTATCAACTTGATGGGACACTGGAAGCCTCCCGTGTTGCCACAGTGGTGGCATGCTCCACTTTGCCTTCCCTTTAAGCACGGAGCCCCATCAGAAGTACCTGTGTATCATGGAATGGTAACCGGTGAGCTCTGTCCTGAAAGGGAAGGCGACATGGAGGATGCTGCCAATTCTACCCTCGTCTGATGAGGTCTATGTGTTAAAACTAAATATGTACAAAAAGTAACAAAGTTACATGTTATACTAAACATAATTATTGCAGTAGTAGGAAAAGCAACTTATTACAGGTATTGTTTTTCAAAGGCACCATTATTTGTCTCTTTTATAAATATATTTAAACAATGTTTCAGTTATCCCAAAGTTTCTTTTCCGCCATGTAATGAGTTTCTTTTAAACATTTTGAATAAAAATGTATTTTTCTCTGTTGTTAAAAAAAATTAAGTTACTGAGTTGTATCACTATAGTGCAGTAGTTCTCAACCTGGATCTGGGGATCCCTGTGGATCCCCAAGGTCATCACAATTACATTATTACAGTATCTACTATGATTAGTGTTGATACTATTATTTTAAATTCATATGGAAACATTATATTATGAGTGTGTGCATCAACAGGTGACCTTATATCCCCTTCTCTCTAAATTTGAATGACTTTTATGAGAAAATTGAAATAATTATTTGATGCAGTGTTAATGCCTTAAATCCTGAGTGAAGGGATCCACGACCATGAAATATATTTAAAAGGGGGTTTGTGGTGAAGAAAAGGTTGAGAACCACTCTTATAGTACATCAATTATTATTATTTTTGTCGTGTCAGAAGCGACTTGAGAAACTGCAAGTCGCTTCTGGTGTGAGAGAATTGGCCATCGGCAAGGACGTTGCCCAGGGGATTCCCGGATGATTTTGATGTTTTTATCATCCTTGGGGGAGGCTTGTCTCATGTCCCCGCATGAGGAGCTGGAGCTGATAGAGGGAGCTCATCCGCCTCTCCCCGGATTCGAATCTGCGACCTGTCGGTCTTCAGCCCTGTCAGCACAGGGGTTTAACCCACTGCGCCACTGGGGGCTCATCAATGAAATAAAACTTTTGTATTACAAAAATATAATACTAAGATCAAAAATTAACAGATGACAAAAAATCCCATCAGACTATATTACTTTCACAAACTATGTGCAAGTTTAGGGCTTTCCTGGCAAATTTTATTCAGAAGTAATTTGTCATTGCTTTTCTTATTTATTTATTATTTATTTGGGGTTCTTTTACCCCGCCCTTCTCACCCCGAAGGGGACTCAGGGCGGCTTACAGAAACAAAGGCACAATTCGATGCTTGCAGCACAGAACAATCAAGACACAAAATTACATCAATTCACAATTCACACTAGTTCATGCATTATATCAATAAAATCAATAAAACCAATACAAACCCAATTCCTCCTCTTACATGGTCAGCGATCGCTAACTCATAGTTCTAGTTTTCCGTTCCACTTCATCAATCCTGTTGGTCTTACTCACCTGATTGTCTTATTTAATTGCCAGATTGCCCAAAGGCCTGGTTCCATAACCACGTCTTCACCCTCCTCCTGAAGGAGAGGAGGGATGATGATGCCCTGATTTCCCCCGGGAGTGAGTTCCACAGGTGAGGGGCCACCACTGAGAAAGCCCTGAGAAAGCCCAGCCTCACTTGTGACAGTAGTGGGGTCGAGAGCAGGGCCTCCCCAGATGATCTCAGATTTCGGGGTGGGACATAGAGGGAGATACGTTCGGACAGATACACTGGACCGGAACCGTTCTTTAAGACTAAAAAGAAAGAACGTGTCTTGCCCCCAAGTTATCTAGTAGGTTTTCATGCCTGAGTGGGGATTTGAACTTTGGGCTACCAGAGTCTTAGTGTAAAACTCAAACCACTACCAACAACTACATCAAACCACTGACTTAAATTTATTTATTTATCGTGTCATCCGCAACCAGAACATTGTGTTACATTTCTAACAGAACAAAACAAACTGACCTAAGATGCATTAACTATTATTTTTTAAAATACTGTTCCATAAAGTTAGGATGACCCAGTTCTGCTACACTTGCATTGGTGGAATACTAATTATTTAGAATCCTAGATAATTTCTCTACCCAGATAAGTGCATTGACTGATTTACTAAAGTTAAAATAAGGCAAACTTTTTGACACATTACCTGGAAGTCCCCGTTGTGATCAGTAAACATTTCACAATATACATGTTTAGGGTCTGGAATAATAGGTATTAGAGTGTTCCTAATTCTGTAAAAAAAGACATTAAAATTAGAACAACCCAAAATTCCCTTAAACATTCAAAGATGGGATATTGGAAACAATTTATTGATTGAGGGTGTATCTGTGCTCACTTTAACTGCTATGGCTCAATGCAATGGAATTACGAAAGTTGTAATTTTACAAGGTCTTTATCCTGCTTTGCCAAATAGTGCTGGTGCCTCACCAAATCCCAGGATTATATAGTGCACATTATGTATTACTGATCACTCGAGAACATCTTACCTGAAAGGACATATTCTATTTCAGCCACTTGTTTTGGTAAGCTTCTAAGACCGAATGGATTTTTCCATGTAACAGGCTAATTGATACAGGTCAGAAATGAGCCAATATGTCTTGCACCTTAGTCACCTAATTTCCACCAATAAGGTTCTAACAGGAAAGATCCTGCACATGAACAAACTAGGCACAAGTACATAGATCTTTCCTTTATAACACAGGTGGGCAACTGTGGGAGTACATTATTCTCCTGACTCTTCCTGAGTCTGTCTTAACCCCACTCAAAAACGGCAAGCAGAAGTGATATTGTACTGCTCCCTGCCATTATTTTGGAAGGGAAGCAAAAAAGAAAAAAAAGAAAAAAAGAGGCATTTCCAAAAGTTAGAGGAATTTAGATGTGTTGTTTTTCTCCACTTATGGGAGTTTCAATCATCCCCAAAGTTTGGGAATGGGAAAAAGGGAGTCAGAATCTGCAAATGAAGATATCAGTCCATGCATGCAGTCCATAGGTCACATTTTGTAATATATTCAGTCATATTAATGCACGTTTTCATAATAATGACGAAGAAGCATGAAAAAAACTCCACTGTCCTTACCTGCTTAATCTGCAAACACAGAGCAGAAGAACAAATATTATCAGGAGACCACTCAGCACTGAAGTTAAAAGAATTACTGTATTTGAATTGGGTTCAGATGCATCCGTAGAACAGGAATCTCAAGAGAACCATAGAAAGAAAAGGTTGGAAGCATTTTCTAGCATGTTGCAAAATCAGATTATTAAAAGTAAGTTATGTCCGCCTTGTCTTTTGAAAGGCAGTTATAAAGATTAATTAAATATACATTTAGAGCATTGTTGGAGCATCTTGTAGTATTTACTGGGAGCATCCTTGTACCAGGGTGAGAACACTTTCTGATACAAAGTCGACTGGAGGGATAGAAATAAATACCATATGCTAACTTCTATGCCTAACCTTCACAGTTCTAACATAAAATTCAGCTACATATTGGAGTAAGAAAAACAGAGATAGCATATTTACATGTACTGAACCCAAACCAAAACCCACTACTCTCCCTGCCTGATGTACCCTATTTACTTGAGTCTAATGCACCATCAAATCAAAAGTACACCTCAGTTTTCAAAGCCTTGAACCCTCAAAAAGTATTTGCTGCTGAATTTAATGTGCAAAACATGGTGAAGTGAACTCTTTGTCAATTGGTCATTATAGTTGCTACCTGCTTAGAATTCCTTCTTTAAAAACAAAAAGTGTTAGAACACCAAAGCTTCCAGCTTCCAGCTGAAAGGAAAACAGAAATGGTGCATCTATGCTGTAGAATGAATCCACTTTAACTGTCCTGGCTCAATGCTATGGAATCATGTAGTTTTACAAGCTATTAAGCTGCCAAAAATGCTGGTGGTTCACCAAACTATAAATCCCCAGATGACATATCATTGAGCCATGGCCATTAAATTAGTGATGAGGTCTCTCAAATAGGAGCTCTAGATGCAGCATCTGAAACAGTTTCCCCCTTTGCTTTGGCTCAGCACTAAGATTGCTGTATGTGCACCCTAATTTTGCCAAGGTCATTTAGCTAAAAAGGTCAGCACGGGACTCAAGTAAATAAGTATCTGAAGTAAATTCCCCCTTTGCCAGCTATACACTAGACCAGGAGTCCTCAAACTAAGGCCCGGGGGTCAGATATGGCCCTCCAAGTCATTTGCTCGGCCTTTGCTCAGGGTCAACCTAAGTCTGAAACGACTTGAAAGCACACAACAACAACAACAACAACAACAACAACAATCCTATCTCATCAGCCAAAAGCAGGCCCACAATTCCCACTGAAATACTAATAAGTTTATATTTGTTAAAATTGTTCTTCATTTTAATTATTGTATTGTTTTAAAGTGTTTTTGCACTATAAATAAGATATGTGCAGTGTGCATAGAAATTCATGTTTTCTTCAAATTATAATCTGACCCTCTAACAGATCCAAGGACTGTGACCTGGCCCTCTGTTTAAAAAGTTTGAGGACCCCTGCTCTAGACCATGGATGTGACCTGAAAAGAGGTTCTCCCACACACACAGAGAGAGAAACATTTAGAAATATTTCCTATATAACATGGATTAGTGAAGGAAATTATCTCATTTGATTTGGCACTCAGCAAAAAGCAAGATCTAATGATCTAATGATGGTGGATAAAAGATCCTCACCCGCCCCTTATTTTCATTCTCAGTTTAGAAACCCCATTGTACTTCTGGTTCATTCTCAAATATGAGTTAACTTAGGTTCACAATGCTGAAAACAGTAGATATACGTATTAATTGGAGGAAGTTACCAAAAGCTAGGTGGTTAACTGGAGCCTCAAGAATGGAAATGTATCTCCAAATCAATCATTTCCCAGCAAGATCCATCTTCCTTTATAACCTTCTATTCCTGACAGTTCAGTCATTTAGCCTAAATTCTGTCTCCTAATGTCTATGAAAAAAGGGGCTAAGCAGTTGCCACCTGGGTGACTCTACTGGTGAACAGAGTCTCTTGTTTCTTTAAAATTCTGAAAAAACTGAAAGAGGAATCACAAGTATGAATTCCTTCTATGCATTAGATATAAACCTTGTATTAATAATTACATTGCTGACACTTCCATGATCTTTGGAATAGATCTCTGACTGTGGATGCCAAATTAGCATCAAAAGAAATAGATTAATCTATGAATTTTATCTGGAAAAAGAAAAAAAATCAAGATTTATCATAGCAACTAGAAAAGAAACCATTTACCTACAGAACTGCCATTTGTCCAATGTGTCTCTGCACTCCATTCACTGAAATAATCCCTTTCCTCGTATTTCAGTCTGAATCGAAAAGTGTAGCATTTCCCTGGATCAAATCCTTGAGCCTTAATCTCACAGCTTTCATTTCCCCTGACCTGAACAGCAGAGAATGGTCAGTCATTAATAATGTTGTCCACAGTACATTTTTTCACTTCTAATTATCTTAGCAGGATACAGTAACAACTAAGACTAAGCACCAAAATCTTTCAAAATATCAAGAGCTAGAGCAAAGATGTATTATTTATATGACTACCAAAAGGTGTTTTTTTTTGGGGGGGGGGGAAGGATTATTTTCCCCCTTTTGTCCTGCATTCCTTATTTAATTACAAGCCCTGCAAAATTATTTGAGAAATGATCATTTCTTTCTAAAAGATACATAAAAATCAGGGTCTTTGAAAATTCTTATACTTTTGAAAAATTAAAATATTTGAATTTTATTTCAGCAATCACTGATTCTGTTGTATTTTTAATTTTTCAGTGACTAGGGTACAACTGCTTCAATGATCACTCAGATCTATTTTCATAAGAAATTATGGATTGGGAAGCAGGTGATTCCAGTTACCTTTTCCATTTGTACATCTAGTGCAAAAACAAACTTGTCAATGTCCCAAAAAGTAGTGCATTTTATAGCAACTGGAATCTGATTTCATTAGAGATAGATGAATGACATCCTTCTACTTGAGAAGGAAGGATTTTTCCATTTAGTCAGGATTCAAGCTCAATTGGGTTTTTAAAAATCCAGTCTCGTATGGATCTTTAGCAAAAAGCCATATAGTAGAAAATAACCCAGATTAATGGAGGCTAATGTCTTCCAATGAAAAAGCGTCATCCATATATTTCTCCCACTGAAAACTGTGGCATCTTCTCTTTTGTTATTCTTGCATTCAAAAAATAATGATTTCAAAAGTTTTGACTCCATTAGCTAAGATTATGATTATTCTTCTGCATTTTGGATAGTTTGATGCACTTTAAAAATAAGTCATTAAAAACATTTTTGATCAACATTTGTGCATAAAATAGTTGTGGTTTTTTACATAAAACAGCTTTTTCATTAAGAAGTCTGAAATTACATGAAATGTTACAGCAGTTGGCCATTTTGTTGTTGTTGTAGGGGAGTTTCAACATATCAAGTATGCATAAATTTTCAATTATTCTGTGCACTAGACATTCAAACATTACGAGTAACCTGCATGCACAATGAACTAGGGAAGCAGCATACTCACTGGTAAATTGAGTTACATTTACACTTGTACTATTGCTCCCTAGTTTAGGTTTGATTTCACAAACCACAACATTTTAGTTTTGGAGAGGAAACAAGGAGAGAAGGGATATGGGAAAGAGGAAGCAACTGAAAACAAGGTTTAATTTAATTACAATACATTTATGTTTATCAGATTTTGATGTTTATATCTGAACAAGGTCAACTCAAGACCCATGTCAGTGAATTCAGCAGCAGCATGGTCCATGTTCAGATATTGCACCTGGGTAATGTTTTGGGAATGGCAGGTCTTTTTTGTGACTGCTGATATCACAAAATATGGTTAATTAAATATATGTTCATTTGAAACCTGATGGGAAGTCTCTCAAAAGAAAATCTATTATCAAAAAAGAGAAAGCCCCGTTTTAAGTTTCCATTTCCATGTATCTCCCTTAAAACAGTATCTGCTAATTACTCACCTGCCAATTTTTGTCAAAACTGCTTTTGTACTGAAATTCAAAGTAAAAATCGGATGGATACTTAGGTGTCATGCACTGTGCAATCACTTCATCATTCAGCCATTGGAGGGTTACATTTTCAGGCGGGTTGGGCTTCACTGGTGAAGATAAAGCCAAATACAAATTTATCTTCTGCAGTCTCTTCAAACAACTATATCACTGTTTTTCAGAACATTGTTTTCATGATAGCACTGAGAAGAGGAATATGCTTTTGGTGTTCATCTTCTCAGGAAGGGTCACCTCCCTTTAGCAGTAAAAAATTCTAGACAACTTGAAAGTCAAGGAATGTTTTTAAGAAATTATAAAACACCAGATTCCTATAGGAGCTAGAAAGATACTTTATTTATTTATGTATTTACAGTATTTATATTCCGCCCTTCTCACCCCGCAGGGGATTCAGGGCGGATTACAATGTACATATACATGGCAAACATTCAATGCCATAGACACACAACATATATACACAAACAGTCAGAGGCTATTTAATATTCCAACTTTTTCTGGCCACCAGGAGAGCTGTCACTTCACCATCCATCTGCATCACCGATGAAGTACTTCCTCATTCCTCACATGCTTGCTGGAGATTTTTATGGCCTCGTAAATTAGTTAAATTAGCCTCCCCACATAAGTGGTACCTAAATTTCCTACTTGACAGATGCAACTGTCTTTTGGGCTGCAAAAGTCGACAACAAGCTACACAAATTGGTCGGAAGCTCACTCTGACTCGAGCTGGCTTCAAACTCATTACCTTTCAGTCAGTAGTGATCTTAATGCAGCTGACTCCCAGCCAGCTGCACCACAGTCCTGATGTAAATCAATATGCATTCACAATCGAATACTATAGGACATGATTACCCAAAGCAATGGTCCATGGATCAGTGATAGTTCCTGAGTGACCAGCACCCTTCCAGGAATAAAAGAAATAGCTGTAACCAATGGGCATAAATATGGCAATCAATTTTGAGCACATAAACGATGCCAGTCCTCCATCTCAGCCAACTTGAAAATAGCACTGTCAATCTGATCCACATAAATCAGTGGTTCCCCAATCTTCCAGATGTTTTGGAGTTCAGCTCTCAGAATTCCTAATAATTGGCCAAGCTAGTTGACACTTCTGGGAGTTGAAATCCCAAACACCTGGAGAACCAAATAGAGTCATGGAACTCATAAGCTGGCTCTCCCATTTGGCAGAATGAGCTTTTTTTCTGGCATCAAATTTTGGGAGAAAACTGTATGTTAAGTGACTTGCCTTCAAGTTCTCTAACCATCTGCCTTCAGCAATTCTGCAGGATATTCTCCAATCCCCAGAATGGATACAAGAGTCATATGCATCCCACAAGGCATTTGCATCTGGAATAGGGGAGAGTATGGGCTTTTTTCTTAACTGGCAGTAAAGATTTTGGGCAACTTCTAGCCCCATTAATTTCAACAAAAATATTTAATCAAAGATTGTGTTGTGTCCTTTATGAACCCCCCCCCCCTTCTTTTTTTTTTTTTTAGAAATCACTACAGAAAGGCAATTATCTGGATGTGGGTTTTAAGATGAGGAATATAATACTTGAAATCTTCAGCCTTGTCTTACCACTTTGTATTTTGGCAGGCTTCAACGAAAACCATAAAAGACCTTTGAGATTCTATATTTGAGGCCTGCCAAATAAAAAGTCAGGATGTGAATAAATCTAAAATATGCCCATATTAAATTGCACAGTAAAAGATTCATATCCAAAAATTTCCCTTTTTCTGTCCATTTCTAGTATGGTGATGCAGAAGCAAATGTGGAGATGGTCATCCACTACTAAATATATTTTGGTTGCTTACCACATGTTATAAAGATTAAATATACTATGTGCTGTCAACCATAAAACACTGTGAAATATTCAGTATTGTCTCAGGCCAAGAGTCAGATATTATGCAGTGTGCCATATCAGTGTACACTTAAGGTCCTTTAAAAGGTAACGGTAAAGGTTTCCCCTTGACATTAAGTCTAGTCAAGTCTGGGGGGTGGTGCTCATCTCCATTTCTAAACAGAAGAGCCAGTGTTGTCCGTAGACACCTTCTAGGTCATGTGGCCAGCATGACTGCATGGCATGCTGTTACCTTTCCACCGAAGTGGTACCTATTGATCTATTTATTTATTTATTTATTTACTTCGCTTGTATACCGCTCTTCTCAGCCCTTAGGCGACTCAGAGCGGTTACTCACATTTGCATGTTTTTGAACTGCTAGGTTGGCAGAAGCTGGGCCTCACAGCAGGAGTTCACCCTGCTCCCCGCATTTGAACCGCTGATCTTTCAGTTAGCAAGTTCAGCAACTCAACAGTTTAACCCACTGTACCACTGGCTTCTTAAGGTCCTTTAGAAGCAAACAAATCTAGCATTGATTTTTCCTCTCAGTTATAAGCAGACAAAACAGATGTTGCTTATTTTTTGTACACTGTCAGTAGTGAGGTCCAAAGTATTCCAAACAAAAAAAATTCAATGTAGAATCCATACATTTAGAATGCTATATCTGCTAAAGCCCAAGGCTATGGAATTAAGGGATTTGAGGTCTGATGAGTACTCTTTGGCAGAGAATGCTAAAGACCTTCTAAAACTATAACTCCCATTTTTTGTGTCAGGAGCGACTTCAGAAACTGCAGTTTGCTTCTGATATGAGAGAATTGGCAATCTGCAAGGACGTTGCCTAGGGGAAGCCTAGATGTTTGATGCTTTACCATCCTTGTGGGTGGCTTCTCACATGTCCCCGCATGTGGAGCTGGAGCTGACAGAGGGAGCTCAACCTACTTTTCTTGGATTCAAACTGCTGTTGATCAACAGTCCTGCCAGTACAAGGGTTTTGCACCACTGGGGGCTCCTATAACTCCCATAATCCCATTAGCTTCAATCCTAAACCTGAAGTTGATACACCACCCCCAGAAGCCTTCAGTTTCCTTGAGTTTTCATGTGGGGCTTTGCTTGGTCTTAAAAGCCAAGCAGTGATATATGTAATGATAAATGAATGATACATACTCACTTACAATATTTATAGATGTTCTGTTCATCATTATAAAGATCTTTTGTCCCATTAGTGTTTTTGATGTAAATATTAAGAAGTGCATTGTGATCAGCCTGAAAGACACATCCAGTTGTATATCCTTGGTCATATATATATTGAGGACATTGCTTCATCTCTTGGTCATTTAATCTGCAATTAAAATAATGACGCTGAATAATTTGTTTGGGTTTTTTTTTAAAAAAAAATAACAATAGGGAATTAGACCCAGACATTGGTAAGCCAAAATGAAGGGGACACATCTCACAATGTTAACAGGTTATGTAACATAGCACATTTTGAGGCTGTCTTCAGCAGGTATAAGATATAAAAAGCACATAAACACACATGCAATATTAGAAAGTCTAAAATTATTCAGTAACTACAGACTGCAAAGCAGACCAAACTACAGTATATTCTGGCAAATAAGACTAATTTTTAACCCAAGAAAAGCTTCTCAAAAGTCAGGAGTCGTCTTATACGCTGGAGTAGCCTTATGCATGGGAGTCGTCTTATATGCGGGAGTAGTCTTATACACCAGGAGTCGTCTTATAGAGCAAGTGCTGAAACTTCCAATCCGGATTGGAGAATCTGTGGTTGTTGCACATGGTGGGGGGGGGGAGCTCAAAAATGGCAGTGGCTGCATCATACATAGTACTGTATGAAAGCATTAAGGGCGACACTGTACAAGTATGGTAGAAGAAAATCCATCCATCAGGATTCATAGACTCAATGCGGTCCCGATGGTTAGGAAAAGGGGCGCCTCACCAGGAAGGTGTAAGTGAAGGGCAGAGCAAGCTGCAGGCATCCGGGGCACCCGGGGTATGGGAAAAAGAGATAGAGTGACTCTGGGCCCAGAAAAACACACCTCTTTTACCTGTCTGTCCCGCCCTTGTATCCTATTACCATACCTCCTCCTCTGTCTCTCAGATCTTGCTCCTAAAGACTGCAGTGAAGCAGTGCATGTGCGAGATCTGAGAGGCAGAGAAGGAGGTACAATAATAGGAAAATTACCAAACTGAAATCAAATCTAATGCTTTTAAATTTTTTATTTGGTGTGTGTTGGAAGAGGGGTAGTCTTATACGGCGAGTATATCCCAAATTCTATATTTTAACTGGAAACTTTAGGGGTCATCTTATATGCTCAGTCGTCTTATATGCCAGAATATACGGTAATTAAAACTGTTTGGAATCAATTTCTGGGGGGGAAAAGTTTTTAATGTAGCTTCCTGGTGATGGGCAAGTGGCTGGACAGAAGGCAATATTCTATTTAAAAATGTTCCTGAACAGGTGGATATATTAAAAGATACTAAGAGGCAGGTGGTGTTTTAAAATGCCTAATATTTATTTGATGCATTGGAGGTATATCGTAATCTGGAATTCACTTTTGGTCTCACATCTTTGGAGATGGACTTATTCTTGCCAGAAACAGAAGAGTCCTGCAATTTCAGAAAGAAGATGGATTTTTGTGTGAAAAGGGATTAGCTGAAGGAAAGAAGAGAGGAATAGCTGAGAATGCTGAAGAGTGAGGCAGTTGATGCAGACAAAGATGGAGATTTGAGAGTTCAGAAGTAAAGAGGTGAGAAAAGAACTCTTGTCGGGTAGAACATTTTAGGTGAACTAATATCCTGCCTAGGACTCTCTAGATCAGGGGTCCCCAAACTTTTTGAACAGAGGGCCGGGTCACAGTCCCGCAAACTGTTGGAGGGCCGG